TATATATATAAACATAATGAAACAAAAAAAATCATGAACAATAACAAATTTTACGTAATCTTTGCCTGAGGGATAGTTTTACTGTGACAAGCACACCCCCATAACTGAATGTGTATAAAGGTCTGCCATGACGAGTAGAGCTGAGTACTGATAGAGAAGAACTATGTCAGTGTTGGGGCTTTTACTTATTATTCTACAGATGAGAAAAGGAACGCCTGTTTGTCGACTGAAAGGGTTAGCACAACCACCTGATCTTGCTCAGGATGGTGACATTTTTATTGGAGGCATTTTTTCATTTCGCACAGATCAGGATTTTTTCATTGACACATTTCAGTCAATTCCAGGACTCAGAAAATGTTTCAAGTATGGCTTATTCCACTTTTAAACACATTTCAAGCTTTTAGATTTGAAACTTGTATTTAGATTTTTCATTCTGTGTTTTATAGTTTCAATTTTAGAGAATTTAAATTTGCTCAAACAATGATCTTTGCTATAAATGAAATCAACAAAGATCCCGGCATGCTGTCTGGTGTTAGAATTGGCTACAAGATTTATGATAGCTGTGGAACCATGGACATACTGAGAACTGCACTGGCTCTTGTGAGTGGACTAAAAACAGAAGTCAGTGATGACAACTGCACAAAAACTGATACAGTGCAAGCTATTGTAGGACATTCAGGATCAAGCCCAACAATTGCATTTGCACAGGTTGTTGGAAGATTTCAAATACCTGTGGTAAGTTTAAGAGGAAGAGTCCATTTTGTTAAGTATCGTGTTTTTGTTTCTGTGTTACAAAATTGAAAATATTGCTTCATCAATATTTTTTTTCTATGGTATGTTCTCTGTCACTGCATGTGGGATGGTTTGAATGTTTCTACTTGTTTGTAGATTAGTCATTTTGCTACCTGTGCTTGTCTGAGCAACAGAAGAGAGTATCCAACATTTTTCAGAACTATCCCCAGTGATTACTACCAAAGCAAAGCTCTGGCAAAGCTAGTGAAGTATTTTGGGTGGACCTGGGTTGGTGCTGTAGCTGCGAACAATGAATATGGCCTGAATGGCATTGCAGCATTCATCCAAGCTGCACACAACTACGGAGTTTGCATAGAGTACTCTGAAGCTTTTTCATCTTCAGATCCACCACATGTTCTTCAGAAAATAGTACAAACTATTGAACATTCCACTTCCAAGGTTATCATTGCTTTCACAAGTCATAGAGAAATTAAATTGCTGGCTTCTGAGTTGTACAAAGAGAACATAACAGGGCTGCAGTGGATTGGCAGCGATGCATGGATCACGGATCCCTCGTTGACAGACAGCGAAGGATATGCAATCCTGCTGGGCTCACTTGGCTTCACTGTTGCCAAAGCAGAGATCCCTGGGCTGGAGGAGCATCTAAGGCAGCTCCACCCTTCACAGTTTCCTAACAGTCAGTTTGTCAGAGATTTCTGGGAAGATGTGTTCGACTGCTCTCTTAACAAAACTGTGAACTCACAAAAGCAGCCGTGCAGTGGCTTTGAGAGCTTGCAAAATGTTTCCTCACAGTTCACTGATGTGTCTGAGCTCAGATTTACTAAAAATGTTTACAAGTCAGTGTACGCATTGGCTCATGCTCTTGACAGTTTGAATAAATGTGATGATGATAAAAGGCTGCTCTCTAATGTGAGCTGTTACAACACTAAAAACATTCAACCATGGCAGGTGAGAATTTGACCCTCATACTGTGGAAAAACTTATATCAGGAAATGTAATCTTTTTTGTTTTGTTTGTTTGTTTCCCCAGGTATTGCAGTATCTAAACTCTGTCAATTTCACCACTGTGAATGGGGAAAGAGTTTATTTTGACAAAAATGGTGACTCACCTGCAAGATATGATCTTGTCAATTTACAAATTACAAACAAAGGAACCATGGAAGGTGAAACTGTTGGCATTTTTGATGCTTCCCTTCAAGATGACAATCAATTCATTTTGAACAACATCTCAGTTGTTTGGGGTCATGGGTTGACCAAGGTGAGAGAGAAGTCAAAAAAAATATGACATGTTCACTCTTATTGTGTTTTGTTTCATAATTTAAATTTGTTTTTATTTATACATTGTGCAAATACAAAGCAATCATCTTTGTGTATAAGGTGCCTGTGTCAGAATGCAGCAAGAAATGTCTCCCTGGAACATATAAGGTCTTACAGAAAGGAAAACCCATTTGCTGTCATGACTGCATACCCTGTCCAGCAGGTGAAATCAGTAATTTAACAGGTAAATTTGAATAAATATATACTAATACATACTTTATCTTCACTTGGTAGTGATATAAGTAGTGACAAAGTTAATGTATATGATTTGCCTTTTTTTATTCTTAAATTTACAGAATCACTACAATGTATGAAATGCCCACCAGAGTTCTGGTCCAGCAAACAAAGAGATGCCTGCATCCCAAAAACAATAGAGTTTCTGGCCTATGATGAAATCTTGGGAGTACTGCTGGCAATAATTTCTCTGCTTGGAATTTTTCTAACCATGATCATAACACTAATATTCTACAATCATATAGAGACCCCATTAGTACGCGCTAACAACTCTGAGCTGAGCTTCCTGCTACTCTTCTCATTGACTCTGTGTTTCTTGTGTTCTTTAACCTTCATCGGTCGTCCGTCTGGGTGGTCCTGCATGCTGCGACACACAGCATTCGGCATTACCTTTGTACTCTGCATATCTTGTGTTCTTGGTAAAACAATAGTGGTTTTAATAGCATTCAGAGCTACACTTCCAGGCAGTAATATGATGAAATGGTTTGGGCCCTCACAGCAGAGGCTTAGCATTCTGGCTTTAACTTTTATACAAGTTTTAATTTGCATACTTTGGCTCTCAACAAGCCCACCTTTCCCTTTTATGAATCTGTTGCTCCATGAGGACAGAATCATCTTACAGTGTAATCTTGGGACAACTGTTGGATTTTGTGCTGTTTTGGGGTACATAGGATTTCTGGCTATATTGTGCTTTGTTTTTGCCTTTTTGGCTCGAAATCTGCCCAATAACTTTAATGAGGCTAAATTTATCACTTTCAGCATGTTGATATTCTGCGCAGTTTGGATTGCGTTCATCCCAGCATATGTCAGCTCTCCTGGGAAGTTTGTTGATGCTGTGGAAATATTTGCAATTTTGGCCTCATCCTATGGCCTTCTATTCTGCATATTTCTGCCAAAATGTTACATCATCTTGTTTAGGCCTGAGCAAAATACCAAGAAACACATGATGAGGAAGGCACCCAAATCTGATACATAAAATTGTCATTTGTTTCACTTTTACAAAGGTTTTTGCAGTGTTTTTATTCTGATTAAACTGTAGCTTTTTTGTGTTTTGTGGTGTAGGTATTATTGCAAATATTGTATGGTTGCAATAAATAAATCATTTGTTTAAGGCTTTCTTTCCTATATAACTGATCATTTAAAGTGTATCTCATTTACTTCTGCCCACATCGCCACCCAAAATAATAAAAAAATTAATATAACTGATAATAATAAATAAATCAAGCAACAGCATTTTTTATTCTGTAGTTAATAAGTGCTTTCATAAAGCAGTTCAGCAAAATA